CCCGCTCCGGAAGGGGAGGGGGTAAAAAAAGGCCTCTGCTTGGGGTCACGTGACGCCGCCCCACCCCCGCCCTGCTCAGTTTCAAACCCGGAAGCCGCGCCTGCGGGCTGAGAGCGAGCGCGCGGGGCTCCAGCTGTTCTCCCAGGGCCACCGATGCAAGGAATCCGCCGGGCGTGGGCGCCACGACCTTGTGCCCACCCGCAGGCGAGGCCACCCCAGGCCCGAGGAGCAAACCCTTTATCGCCCGTGCCCGATAAAGGGCCACGTGGACACCGAAAGCGTGCAGCGACACAAAGCAGAGGGCTCAGTGCATTCGAGCAGAGCAGGGCCCCAGCAATCCCTCGCCATCCCCCCAGATCAAAAATGAAACAAAGGCCTACTGATTAAGGAAGCGCTCGTAGACATGGAATAGAGGGAACAAAGACCGGATAAGTGAACTTACGCAAAGAAGCTCCCTGTCAAGACCTATATCCATTTCTGGCTCGAGGGATCAACAAAACTCACCTCCTGATTGTCTAGAGCATTCACAAAGGTTTTGTAGGAGTTACTGTTTATATTTATCTCACCCACTGTAAGAACCAAGCCAACACCAACTCTGTATAAACAGAACAAATCTTTTATGGATTTTCGGATTCGGTCAGAGCCTTGGCAGTGTGTCAGTCTGGTGCCTCTCTCTTTTCTCTTTGATGCCTATGCCCAGTGAACCTTGTTTACCCCACGACTATGATCAGGTGCTGATTTCCCCCTAGGACACCATGCTTTCTTCTATAGATGTTTGTTCTTCTGTGGTACTTTCAATAGTCTTCCCAACATGATAATCCTCCGGCCTCCCTTATCCTTAGTCCTGATTCCACTTCCACAGGAGGCATGGCTTGGGCGGGGAGCATCTTGGTCCACAAGGTGATCTTTGCTCTTTTTGGGGGCAGGGTGGGGGGTGGGGTGGGGTGTTAATTTTTTTAATCATTTTATTAGGGGCTCATACAACTCTTATCACAATCCATACATACATCAATTCTGTAAAGCACATTTGTACATTCATTGCCCTCATCATTCTCAAAACATGTGTTCTCCACTTAAGCCCCAT